TGTTTGCTTTCACTGACAACTCAGTACTGTATATGCAAAAGGGTTCATATTTGTTGTCTGTACTGCCCATGTAACTCTCTATGTCTTTCTCATCCTCAATTCTTAGCTGTAATCTTAATGAAAGGAGATCATCAGGCCTTTTATTCCATGGCACCAGTGGGTGGGTGGTACCTCTGGGTGGTTTTGAAATGCCAACCTTTAGATTAGCTGTCAGATACAAGCCATTTGTGCCATGTAGGGACATTTAAGGAACAGAAATGTATTTTCTCACAGTTCAGGAGGTTAGGTGTCTGAATTCATGTTGATAGCTCTTGGGGAAGGTGCTCCCTGTCTACTCTGCATTCCTTGGAGTTCTCCATGTGGCATCTGTCTTTCCCCATCTGTGCTTACTTGCTTCTGTGTCTGATCACCTTTTATATCTCACAAGTGGTTAAGATTAAAACATATCCTACACTGGTAAAGACCCTTATTGATATAACAAAGAAAGCCCTATTCCCAAATGGGATTATACCTACAGGTATAGGAATTTATGACAGATGTTTTTGGGGAACATAATTGCACCCTCAAAATTCATGTCCTTCCTACATGTAAAAACATTCACTCTATAACATTATCTCAAAGTCTTAACGCATTCCCGCATCAACTCTAAGTCCCAGATCTCATCTTCTGGATCATCTAAATCAAGTATGACTCTGGGTTTGTTCCATGCTGGGGCAAAATTTCCCTAGATATTTTCCAGGAGCTCACTGTTGCCTTCAGGATGAAGTCCAAACTTCTTGAGGGATGATAGGTAAGACTTCTCACAGCTTGGCCCCAGCCTGCTTTTCTAGCCTTGTGCTCAGGTATTTCCCTTTGCTGCTTTTGTGGGGCCATTTCTTATGTATTCTAAGTGGGAGGGGGTCAACATAGGTAGGGCTGGACAGAAGAAGACAGAGGTGCTGCTTCATTTGGCATGCCCAAATGCTGTTACTTTTATTTTATTTTACTAATTGCATAGCATATGATACATGCAGACGGATATATGTAAAGTATGTGAGAATTATTAATCATCATAATTAAGCATTCATCTGTGAGCTCACCACTCACCTTAAGAACTAGATCATTATTAACACTATTGAAGTTCCCTCTGTGCCCCTTACTTTTCTCTGTAGAGCAGGCTGGGTTTTACCACATGCTGCCTCACCTGCTGGTCCTCTTTCTTCCTCTTTGGAAAAGTTGTGAGTGTGGGGATTCCCCCACAAAGACTGCTGAGGTAATGCCAGATTGCCACCTGGCCTTGTTCCATGCATTTCACTCTATTCTGGGGTTTGCTGACAAAGTAGGTGGTGATGAGCGGTATTTCTGTCCCTCGCAGGTCAGCCTGGGAAGCTGATGTATGTGATGCACAATTCAGAGTATCCTTTGAGCTGCTTCGCCCTCTTTGAGAATGGCCCTTGCCTTATTGCTGACACCAACTTTGATGTGCTCATGGTGAAGCTCAAGGGCTTTTTCCAGAGTGCAAAAGCCAGCAAGATTGAAACCCGGGGCACCCGTTACCAGTACTGTGACTTCCTAGTGAAGGTGGGCACGGTCACAATGGGGCCCAGCGCCCGGGGCATCTCTGTGGAGGTAAGACTGTGGTGAAATAGGACCAAGGATGTGCTGAAGGGGCTACTTGGCAAGTCACTTGTAAATATCAAACAGATTTATGCCTACCTGATGCGTGTCTCCAGAATATCTGTGCTCCCTCTCCCTGCATCTTTTGGCCCTTTCTTTAATCACTCAGGGAATCTCTAGTGTGGGATGAGAAATGCGAAGCCAGGTTCACAGCAAGTAGAAAGCTTAAGAAGACTGGTTTGCTGGAGAAAGAAGGAGTAGTCAAGAGAGGCAGGTGAATTATGATGTGGAGGGCCTAATCATCCATCACAAGAAGGTCTGTAGCAGCCCAGGATGACTTTCAGTGCAGTTACCTTTTGGGAAGTGGGCCTTAAATCAATATGTCCACACACTTCTTTTTAGTATGCTTTAAAACGAGTCTCAGATGTTGTGTAGCAATGATATGTATCTGTTTTTCGATACAGTGTCTGCTTTCTTTCATGGTAGAGGTATGTGTACATGTGTGTGATGACTTTATCTTTGAGGGTAAAGATATAGAAAATGGCCAAGAGGGAATATGCTAGCAGTTGGCTTTGGGACCAGTGAAAGTCCACAATCTACCAAAACCCACTGAAACCCATTGCCATCGAGTCAGTTCTAACTCATAGCAACCCTATAGGACAGATTAGAACTGCCCCATAGAGTTTCCAAGGCTGTAAATCTTTATAGAAGCAGACTGCCACATTTTTCTTATGTGGAACAGCTAATGGGTTTGAACCACCAACCTTTTGGTTAGCAGCCAAATGCCTTAACCACTGTGCCACAAGAGTTCCTCTGACAATCTACCAGGTGCTCTAAATACCATGTGAGATAGAAAAAGAAATAAGCTACAGGACCTGCCTTTTTAAAACTTATGATTTAATTTGGAACAAAACTCAAAATCATAAACAAATGACCAGGTTTTCTGGTCTGATAGAGGCTGGTAAGACCCCCAAGACTATGGTCCCTACTTATCCTTCAGGTCTGGAACTAAACTTACTCCTGTGGTTTCCAGCCAAACAATAGACAGGCATATAGGGTGAACATTTACATCAAGTAGATACACTCTTTAGAGCAGTCAGTTGTGGGAGAACAGAAGGGCAGTGTTTGCACAGGGAGATAGCTTAGGGGGCAGGAATGCATAGGAAAGGAGGACACAGGGAAGAGGTAACTACAGGGAGGAAGTGGGAAGAGAGCTGTTACATTGTGGTGAATTGCAGTCAATATCATGAAACAATGTGTTTGAACTGCTGTATGGAAAATGAATTTGTTCTGTAAACTCTCACCCAAATCACAATAAAAATAAAAAAATGTTTTTGATTTAATGAGAGTGCAAGGCCAACACACACAAACTATATTTGAAATAAGTTTGTAAGAAATGCCATAAAAGAGGCAAAAATTGTTCTGAGAATTCAGAGGCCAGTAAGATCACTACTGACTATGAGGATTGCAATGATATCTATAGAGTAGTATTGAAGTTGTTGTGTGACATTGAGTCAATTCTGCCATAGAGGACAGAGCAATACTGCCTTATAGGGTTTCTAAGGGTGTGATTTTTATAGACCACCACTTGTCTGACACTTTGTTGTACTGTGGTGGCTTGCATGCTGCTGTGATGGTGGAAGCTATGCCACCAGTATTTCAAATACCAGCAGGGTCATCCATGGTGGACAGGTTTCAGTGGAGTTTCCAGACAAAAACAGACTAGGGAGGAGCACCTGGCATTCTGCCTCTGAAAAAATTGGCCAGTGAATAATTTTGGATAATTATGAATATCCATATGAATAATGAATAATTGTGAACTTTATGAATAATTGTGGAACAGTGTCTAATATACCATATTTTTTTTGCATATAGTGTGCCCATGGAAATAATGCACCAATACATATAAAATGTACCATGCACACAGGAAGTAGTGAATGAGGGGTTATGTGGTTTGCATCCTCTAAAAATCCCCACATAATGCATTATTTGCATAAAAATACATTAGTGCCAGAAGATAAGCCCCTCAGATTGGAAGGCACTCAGAACAGACTGGGGAAGAGCTACCTCTCAAAGTAGAATTGACCTTAATGATGTGGAGGGAGTAAAGCTATCAGAACCTTCATTTGCTGATGTGGCATCAGTCATAGTGAGAAGAAACAGCTCCAAACATCTGTTAATAATTGGAACATGGAATATATGAAATATAAATCTAGGAAAACTGGAAGTCATTAAAAAATGAAATGGAATGCATAAAGATAGATATCCTCGGCATTAATTACCTAAGACTGGTATTGGCCATTTTGAATCAAACAAACATAGGGTCTGCTACGCTGGGAATGACATGTTAAAGAGGAATGTCATTACATTTATCATCCAAAAGAATATTTTAACATTAATTCTGAAGTATAATACTGTCAACAATAGGAAAATATCCATACACCTACAAGGAAAACCAGTTAACATGACTATTACCAAATTTATACACCAACAACTAATGTCAAAGATGAATGAATTGAAAGTCTTTACCCACTTCTGTAGTCTGAACTTGATAAAACATGCAATCAAGAGGAACTGATAATTACCAGTGGAATATGAAAGTTGGACACAAAGAAGGATCAGTAGTTGTAAAATAGGGATTTAGTGATAGAAATGACTTGGGAGAGCCTATGATAGAATTTTGCAAGACCAATGACTTACTCATTGCAAGTATCTTTGTTCAACTATATTGTTGGATGGTGTTGTCCATGACAATACCTGTGGACCTCAATGGATGGAATACACAGGAATCAAATTGAAAGAGGCAATGGAGAAGGTCAGTATCATCAGTCAGAACAAGGCCAGGAACCAGGTATGTAACAGGCCATCAGTTGCTCATATATGAGTTCATGTTGAAGATGAAGAAAATTAAAACAGGTCCACAATAACCAAAATACAAGCTTTAGTATATCCTATCTGAATTTAGAGACCATCTCAAGAATAGATTTGATGCACTGAACACTTAAAGACTGAAGACCAGAGGAGTTGTGGGATGACATCAAGGATATCATACATGAAGAAAGTAAGAAATCATTCAAAAGACAGGAAAGAAGGAAAAGACCAAAATGGATGTCAGAAGAGACTCTGAAACTTGCTCTTAAATATAGAGTAGCTAAAGTGAATGGAAGAAATGATGAAGTGAAAGAAATGAACAGATTTAAAAGGGCAGCTCCAGAAGGCAAAGTAAAAAGTGTATAATGAAATGCAAAGGCCTGGAGTTAGAAAACCAAAATGCATGCTTGGCATTTTTTTTTTTTTTTTT